CCAAATTATATAAAAAATATTGTGTACAAAGAAATATTACATAATATTTAAGATTAGTAACTTATTTACTCTTTATTATATTGTAATTAAATAGTTAAATCAATATACGAAATATCATTTTTATCAATTTTATTTTTACATTGTTAACATTTTATAATACCATTATTATTTTATAATATCTATATTTTTATAACATTTTATAAAATCATCCTATGATTTTTAAAGTGTTATTATAAATTATTATAATACAATATTCTTTTCCATTTATATATTATGAATTCTTATATTTCCTATATTATTTTTCAGTTTGAATAAGATGTTTGCACCAATAAGAATCCTAAAACCTGGTGAAACACACTTGACTATTCGTGCTCGAATATGTCGCTTATGGAGAAATGTAGACTACAAGACAAGAGAACTTATCAGTCTTGATATACTGTTGGTTGATAAAGAGGTAATCAAATATATTCTTTATATACATTATATAGTTATAAATATATAGAAATATATACATTTATTATTCAATTTATAACAATAGAAAATCTAATTTATAATTTTACAGCACGAAGCAATACATGCAGTTATCCGATCAAGAGATGCTGACTACATGAGTCAAATAATTGAAGAAGGAAATATATATGAAATTAATAACTTCTTCATCGATCGTAACAAACCAAGATATAAAATTGTTCCTCATGTGGCAATGTTGCAGATAGCTAGAGCAACAATTTTCAAACATGTTCCTGAAGACATGCCTAAAATACCTCGACAAAAATTTACTTTTGTCGAATTTGATCAAATTACTCAAAGGATCGATGTAAACGATATTCTCTCAGGTTTGTTTATTTTATTACTTATTTGCTTATAATTTTTAATCAGTTATTTCTCATTTTGTAACTGTTAAAACTAATTGATTATATATGTAATATTTGTATCAGATGTAATTGGTCGACTCATATCCTTCCATGGTATTGAAGAATCAGCTATCAGTGAAAGAATTGTCAAAAGAAGAAGTTTCACGATTCAGAACATAAGGTAAATACAGCAAAAATTATTATTATAATAATAAATGATAAAAAATATTTATGTTTAAATATTTATAATCATGTTTTCCATTACTTAATACAGAGAAGAACAACTAAATTTAACACTTTGGGGAGAAATGGGAGAACTTTTCAATGAAACTGTTGTGCGGTCAATGACGGAACCAATTGTTATTGCTTTTACAGCAATGGCGGCCAAACAGTACCAAGGTTATTACTCATATTATAATATATTCTATTCTATTTTTTTACAAAGCTAACTACAAATTTCTATTTATTACAGGAGGTCTTTACTTATCAAACACATCTGGTACTTTTTACTTTTTAGATCCAGAAATTCCAGAAACATGAAGAATTAAACAAAGGTATAACAAAAAATACTCACTTTTCTCAATGTTTACATATATGTATCTTCTTATTTTCATTTATTGACATAAAACAAATTCTTTTTATATAGATTTCGTCATTCTATTCAGAGTTTGGATTATGTTGCTACATCAGCGAGGCTAGCAATATCATTAGAAGACTAAAAAAACACAAATCGCATTACCATCGAAGAATTACGAGCATTAGATGCATTCCAAAATCGGGTACAAAACTTATAAATATAGTCCATTAAATATAATATGTATATATATTGAATTAAACTGTTTCCTTTTCTACATAACAGGAAACAAAATATACAGTTAGAGCAATTATAACTAACTTATTTACACATCAAGGACGGTTTTACTATGCCTGCACAAAGTGTTATAGACAAGTACAAGAATTTGGGACATCATGGTGGTATGACACCGATGGATATCATTCTACAATGCCACTTACTTGGTAATAAATTCTATTATAAAAAATAAGCGCTTTAATTTTCTATTAACAAATACAATAAATACAATTTACTTTTCTTATACAGGTACAAAATAAATATACAGATTGAAGATAACACCGGAAGAACAGACGCTGTAATGTTTGGTAAAACTGTGCAGTCACTTATTAACAAAGCTTGCTCTACACTTACTTATGATGAGGGATACACTGATCGCTACATGATTCCTCCTATTTTAGAAGAAATAAGAGGAATATCAAAAATATTTGTCATACAGTTTCGAACTCGGAGAGCTTTTATTGATAAAGTTATTTTGAAGACTTTTAACGACGAGCAACCTCAGCTGTATTTACCACCTATAACAACTGCGTCTTCAAAAGAAACATCATCAGTTTCAAAGCCAATTCAGTCTGTTTCAGTCCCTCACGAATCTACCTCTTTCGAAAGTTCATCAAAAAAAAGAAACAAATCAGGTAAAATTATGTGGTATATGTTATATTAAATATTTTAATAAGTATGAACACGTTTATTAACAATTGTTACAATTTAATAATATTTATTTCCTTACTTTCTTCCTTGTTATCAGCCCTCAAAAGAAACGACAAGCGAAAAAAAAAATAAGTGATTACATGAATAAGTCTCTGTACATATGTAAATAAGTATGTATATTTTTATGTACAAATGTAAACATCTAAATAAATGTATATAAATATATATATACACGTGTTACAGATGTACAACAACTTATAAACATATATATATATATATGTGTGTTTTTATACGCTTTATTTATTTAAATTATTGTTAATTATACTATTACGTACCCGTAGAAATGCTTATATACTAAATTTAGACATTATACCTAATAGAAAAAGATAATTAAGAAAAAAAATTAAGTTGCTCCTAATACTTAATTAAATTTGAAAATTTAAAAAGAATTGAAATTTTTGTCAGTTTTCCCCTTCAAGAAAATTGCAGTAAGATATTCCAACAAGAAAACTCCACGCTCTTTTTCATTCTATTCTATTACCATTATAAAATCTTTCATTGTCATTCTATACCATTATTGCTCAGTTATCTGATTCTGCTCATCTATGGTTGGAAGACGAGGCAGATCTGTTTGAGGTGGTGCTTCAAATCTGCCCCAGTTCATTTACCCAAAACGCAGACAGAAATCTTGTGCTCCAGTAAATAAAACCGGTGCTTCAATTTATTTACCTAAGTCCGAAAACAAAAACCAGGAAATCTGGCGCTTCAACGAATAAAAATTGGGATTCAATTCATTCATAAAAAATAAATACTAAAAATCACTTCTATGCCTTTTTATTATTACTCTACTGAATGTGTTTTGAGTTTGGATTGGAACTCCGTGAGCTATATAGGTTAAGAAGACTGTAAACTGAACGACAAAAACTATTAGAAATGTGAAATCCATGTAACAAAGACTATTGAAAAAGTAAAATCTCTATAACCGACCCAATTAAGTTGGGATTGAGACTTGTTTGTTGTTATTGTTATAAAAATGAAAATTTGTTCCATTAAAATTTTAAAGATTATATAAAATTAAACCAAAACATTAGAAAATCAAACATGCTAAATGAGAACAGTCTTTCCACTCTATTCCTAATTCCATTGCCCATATTATCATTGCAGCACTGCAACTAAACGGTCACAAACGTAGAATACTCACAGATAATAACATCTAAATGCATCTTGAATAAACGTATTAATAATCTCTACAAGCAATAGTACATGTGCCGCAACATTAGCACTAGTAATAGGTAATTAATAGCGAACATACAAGCATCACAACAAGTTGAGTAAAAACCAACACTAGAATCATCAAATTCTCTTCCACGGCAATTGAGTTGAAAAGTTACCACTACTCGTTACCACGTATAAATAATTCAATCGACAAAAGCAACACTTCAACAACCAAAACCATAGAGCCTATAAGATCAGAAAAGGCTCTAGTTTGATGCCACTTAATAGAAGAAAATATTCCTGAAGAGCAAAGGTATAGCAGAATCCCATGAAAAAAAAAAAATAGTAAAGGGAATAGAAAGGATTGCCATTTAGCCAAAAATAGTTGCAGGTACCTACATAGACCAAAAACAGTTCAACCCCCATCCAAGAGAAGGCCTAAAATTTAACTATAGAAACTAGAATATCATCTTCTTGATCAAAATCCATACTGAAATTACGTGAGCAGTACAAAACATACCAACCCAACTCCAGTCAACGTATTCCGACAAAGACTTAAAAAACAAAAAATATGCAAAAAAAAGTCTTAAGCAAAAGAATGAATAATCAAGCGAAATTGTTATTGTTTTACAATCCCGATCATAGCACTAAATCGAAGCTGAAGTTATAAATCAGCTAGGCCTTTAACAACCCAAGTGTACTTGATTTAACATGACAAATCAGTCATCATGCTATAAGGGTGTTTGAATGAAAACTAAAAGTCTAAATTAACCGGACCACGTTAATTAAACAAGGCAAAGTGTGAAAGAAAACAAGAGCAGGAATTAAAAAGGACACTAACAACTTGAATCACCCACTAACTAGTCCATCAAAAATATGCACCCAAGGCAAACCCTGAATGTTAAGACGACCAGAAATCTGTGTGAAACACAAGTTAGAACACTGGTTGCAATTCACACGCAGGGATTCTCAATGAACTACTATAGACATAAATCTCACTGTCATATGATAAAACTTGATAATTGAAAGGTAAATGTACCATAAGCTACAAGTGTTTTCTTTCAATGCTACCAGGTAAAGCTAAAACTTTAGTTCACAAAAAAAAAAAAAAGCACAAGCAAAAGAAAAGAAATGATAACACCTATAGATAGATAATCAAACGACTAAGCATCAATCAAGACCGAATAATTTGTAAATAATCATCTCTGCAATGAATTCTAAGCAAAACAAACTAGCAAGGAGAATATCTATTTTTTAAACACGCAATTATAAAAAAAAGGACAACATTAATAAAATAATATTAGAACGAACCCTAAGTAATTTTCACAGAAAAACAAAACAAATTCAGAAACACGAATCCTAGCAATAAGCAAATACAATCAAGAATAATCAATACCGATAAATCACCAGATCGAGGTAAAATCCTTTCATAAGATACCAAAAATTACTTTAATCTAAGCATTTAAACAACGAAAATGTAACACAACCACAAAATGTCTCCACAAAACCACTAATTAAATATTCATAACTGAAAATCCCTCCAACAAAAAGCAGAAACAATGTTTGGAACAAAAAAAACTCCCGAAAACAACTGACGATCGTTCATCGGAGAGCTCAAAACCTGAGCTTGGTGAAGAACCACCTGTTCTTGCCGGTCTTGAACCTCTCCTCGAGGCGCTTCTTGGTCTCCTTCAAGGCGGTGACCTTCTTGTCCTTGGACTGAAGGGCGTCCGTAGTGACGACGTCCTTGAGGTCGACGTCGAGGGTGTAGCGAGTCGGCATGAGGTGCTGGTAGTTGACGAGCTTGACGAACGCCTTCACGCGCGACTTCTTTGCCGTCTTCTTGGCCGAGTCCTTGCGGATGACCTTGCTCGGATACTTTTTAATGCCGGCGACGAGGCAGTGGCCGTATGCGCGGTCGCGGGTTCCCTCGTCGAAGGTGCGGAGGATCACCGCCTTCCGGCCGGCGTAACGGCCCTGGAGGACGATCACCGCCTTGTTCGGCTTCAAGAACTTCACCATTTTCGCTCGCTTCTTCTTCTCCGCCGCTCTTTCTCTCTCTTCTCTCTCGCTCCAAGCGGTTCGGCCACAAGAGAATGAATATCCTACAAGTAGTGATATGTTATATAGTTGGGGTTTCAGAAAACCCTAGATCTTACTCCGGTTTGTTGGTTGTCGAAACAGGCTGTGGTTGGGCTCGCTAAATGGGCCTAGTCCATTTTTCAAGTAATAATTACACTGCCAAAATTTTATAGGGTAAACTGTGAAATATAAGTAAATATAAGTAAATGAATTAGAATTTTTATTTTTTACTCTTAATTCATAATTTTTTTAATTAAATAATTATATTAATAAAAAGATATTTATTAAGAATAAGAAGTAAAAATTCAGATTTATAAACTTAAAGATAAAATTCTCTATTTATTCAATTTTATACCTTAAGTTGAAATTTAGCAAAATTATCATAATATTATAAATATAGCAAAAATAACAGTCATTATCATGATGATGTCACATTTTATGCTATATAATAATATAATCATTATTTTAATTTTAATGATATCAAATTTTTACTATTCTTATAATATTTTAAAAATTTTACTATATTTACTCTACTATTAAACTTTTGCTCCAAGCGTAAATAACCCATTTTTAAAAAACAAAAGCAAATGGGCCGTCTTAGGGCAATTATTGGATTTCGGCCCATTCCGTACCCCTTTGTGGGGTTGTATATAGACACCCCTTTTAAGAACTTCGCTCGACAGAAAAAATTTTTCAGAATATTTTGGACTTGTTTTTTTAAGAGTAAAACTTCAAAAAAAATTTGAACTCAACTTATAATTTTATTTAAGTTCATGTTCATTTGTAAAATTTGAGTTTAAACTTGAGTTTAAAGCTAAAATTTGAGTTCAAATTTTCCCTTCAACTCAAGTTCTTAAAAAACGTCATAACTTTTTCGTTTTAATTCTGATTGAGATGATTTTTTTTTCTATACGTTCACAATGAAGAGATGAATAAAACCTCACCCATATATACTATTAAAATTTTTCATCATCATTGTATTTTTATTGAAATACTATCTAAATACAAATTTAAGTTTTGACTTGCTGAAATACAAACTCAAATAGATTCTCAATTCAAATCATAACTCAAATGTGCACATCCAAACACAAACTTAAGTTACAACTTAAACTCAAATTCAACTCAAGATCTATACTCAAGTCACCATAACTCAAAAATGCAACTGAACAAGTCCTTTGAGTTTTACAATTTGTTCATTTATACCCAAGCTCAAAAAAGTTTGAACTCAAATTACAACTTTATTTAAGTTCATGTTCTTTTATAAAGTTTAAGTTTAAACTTGAATTTTAACTTGAGTTTGGGATTAAAATCTGAGTTTAAGTTTCCCTTTCAACTCAAGTTCCTAAACTCAAACTCAAGTTAATGAATAATATTTTTTTATTCTTAAAAAGGTCATCACTTTTTCATTTTAATTCTGATTAAGATTATTTTTTTCTATGCGTTCATAACGAAGAGACGAATAAAACTCTACCTATATACCCTATTAAAAGTTTTCATCACCAATGAGTTTTTATTAAAATACTATCCAAATACAAATTGAAGGTTTTACCCACGCAAACACAAACTCAAATAAATTCTCAATTCAAACCATAACTCAAAATGTGCACATCCAAACACAAACTCAAATTAGAGTCCTAACTCAAACCATACTCAACTCAAATTAAGATCTGAACTCAAATCACCATAACTCAAAAAACGTAAATGAACAAGCCCGGAGTCATGCAAGAATAATACCAGGGACATCAATTCAAATCTCAACTCTTATATATCAATTGGTGTAATGTATAAGTGATAATCTTTTTATTAGTATATGTAATTTCTTATCGTCAATTGATGTAGCAATGTTTTAAACACTCACTAATATATAAAAATGACAACTTATATATCACATCAATTAGTACACAAAAGTTGAGATTTGAGTTCTATTTTTTATTCCTCCTTTGGATATGTTATTTTCTTACTCTCCCTTCTCCTCCTAGGAGTTTCTATGTTCAAATCTTACCTCAATATATAAGGTCGTGCCCGACTAATAAGGAGTGTTCCATTAGACTCAAGGTGGTTTGCTTGAAACTTAACTCATCTTTTCAATAGAATTAGGTCATACTCTTTTCATTCTATTAGCAAACCCGATATATGTTCTACAGTTAGCGGAGATGAGGGACGAGATGAAACCGGTAATCTCCTTTTTACTAACAAAAATCGAAATAGCAATCTATTAAAACAATGATATTTCACTTAATGATTCTAAAATTTTTATCACATAGACTAATTCTGAAATAGTCTTTTGAGTAAAATTAAGTCAAATCCTTTGTATTTTATTGGCGGACCCAATATATATTTGATATACGTGTATAGAGACGAGATGACATTAGTGATCATCTTTTTCACTAGAAAAAAAAGTTAGCGATTCATTATAATAATGATTTTAATTGCTAATTCTAAAATTCTAATAGTAACAATTAGTAGTTTTAAAACCTAAAAATAAATCAATAAATAAATCACAAATTAAGAAGTTGAGTTTTTGTCAATTTTCTTTTATGGTTGATAACAAACTATAAATTTTGCCTAGACTGATACTTGTTACTAGATGGATGAATTGAATACTAGCTTATAAATACTGTTTGAAAATATGAAAATGAAGTCATGAAACGTGTAGTAAATACACATTTTATAAAGCGTTATTTGCCTCTCGGTTGAGATTGGCTATGGGTTTCAATAACAAATCGCTTTTAAAATATGACAAGTCTTTTCAGTGTTTTTGCACTAAGTAAAAGTGAAAAAAATACAAAAAACAAAGAACTCTATTTTTACTAGGGAGGGAAGAAAACTAGTAAATCAGATAATTGTTTTCGATCTCGTTTTTCGATTTAAAAAATTAAGTGATATCCTTTAATAGCACCCTTTTAAAGATAACTGCCACCTTGATAATTAAATTTGAATTTACAATGTTACATTCGGAATATTAAGTCAAATTTCATTTAAAAAATTTTAAAAATAATATTCTAGCCACAAAAGTCTCTTGTGGGTACTTTACAAACCTGTTAAATAGTGTGGTGGCTTATAAAGTGTTATTCAACTTTATAAGTTTTCCATGCGGGATAAATGAAGACTTTGGTCGTTTACTACAAGTCTTTTTTATATATTTACACTTGAACAATTCGAACAAATACGACAGAAGGAAGTATTCCTTCAACCAAATCAAGTATTCCTGAAGTCTAAAAGCATGTTCATCCATGGCAAAGGCTGCTTTGATCAACAGATCGATGAACATATCAAAATGCAATCAAATGGAAAGAGGAAACGATAATTAAGTAGACCACGAGTAAGTTTCTGCAGAGAGTAAAATCTACAATTGATTAGATCTAGGGCCAATGACTGAGTTAGGAATTGTCGATTGGTGAAATTAATCCGCTGCGAGAATGAGAGCGTTAGTAGACGTGAAATTAAATACAAATAGTAAAAAGATACAAGACTTTATACTGGTTCCCATGATAATGCATGATACGTCTACTGTAGGGCTCCAATGATTTCACTATGACTGCTGAAAATCGTTACAATGAGTCGTTCTGAGAAGAACGAGATGAGAGAGAAATATACAAGCTGGAAAGTACAATAAGAAATGGAAAAGTCTTCTGAAAATGACCGTGAGAGCTTTTGTGTGTTTTGAAAGCCTCCCAAAACTGTGTCCAAATGCCTTATATTTATAGTTGGTGAGGCTCCATGAGTCGTTTTCTGATTCTCTGCGTGATATGTCATTCAATTCGTGATATTCCCTTCCTTTATGAGCCCTGCATGACTTTTATTAATTGGTTATGCCCATAATCGACCGGTCAATCATGGTTTCTTGCCATTTTGAGTTGATCTTGCATCTTTATTGCCTGATTGCTGGAGATATAGTTTTCTTGTGTGGAAGACAATTAATTTCGTCCAATGAGAAGGTATCTTGCGGTCTAAGTAAACTGTTGACCTTTCTCCTCCTTAATTCTTCTAGCTCGAGTAGTTAATTTCCTTCATTTTTCTGGATGATCTTGTTGCCAAATTCCGTATTTGGAATGTCTTGAGGATATTCTCTCGTGACTTAATGCTCAAGGTTATCCGTCGACTTGTAGGATTGACTGGTGGAGCTGACCAGTCAACCAGTCGCTTCTGTCTGTTCGGGGAGTCGCGGTGATTCGTCTAGTGACCTTCCGGAGCCTAAATTACTACATGTACGGTGAAAGATAAGGTACAAAATCTAAATCTAACCTCAATAGTTTCTAAACTCTTTTTTTACTCTATTTTCTTTTCTTTTCCCCCTTTTTTTTTTTTTTTTTTTTGAGAATTACTTACTACTTAAAGAAAAAGAAGCAGTTGTGCCTACTTTTTGTTATGAAAGTTGATCCGCGTCATTAGAGAGGCATACAGAAATCTTCAAATGTAACAAAACAACAGCTGTGCTCACACAAATTAGAGATAGTTTTGTCTTTGTTACAGTAGTTATTCAAAGTTGGTGGTGGATTGGGTTGTCTCGCAATTTGAAACCTTAAAAGGTAATAAAAGAATATCGCTAGGGGCTTATTAGAGAAGACAAAGCAGGTGCACCCTATACGTGAGTGGGGCCTACTGATTTTGTCTTTTGGGGTTGGGGTTCGCGGAGCTCCTCGATTTGCCTAATAACAAAATAATTATTATTATTATAAATCTTTACTGATTTAAATTTTTAATTTTAATTTTATTATAATTAAAAATTTTTATAAAAAATTATATTTAATTTATTTTATTATTATAAAAAATTTTCACATAAAATTATATATTAATTTAAATTAATAAATTAAATGAGACCATAATTTCATTTTTTTCTCCTTGCATTCGGGGTTTTCTATAAAACTAATAAATTTCTTCTAAGATTCATAATTGGTACACAAAAGTGATTGGAGCATAACTTTGTGAAATCAATAGTACGTGGTTTCATGATTTATGTTAAATACAATTTATTTGTTTCTAAGACAATCAGTGGAATTGGAATTTAACAACAGATTGCTTCAC